ATATCATTGTAATTTGTTGTATAAGGGATAAATGGGTCATTTTCATGATAAGTAGTCACTATCAATCCTGATGAATCTGGTTAATCAGAGTTTTATAAATATTACCAAAATAATGCTTTATCTCCATAATATTTATCATCTTCATATTTATTCTTCAAAGTCATTCTAAATAGAGCTAAAGTTCTCTATTGATATTATGGAACCTAAGAAACTCTTACCCATCCACTAAGCATAAAGCGTGAATTTTCGTATTTTAATTTTGACAATATACGAGCACTTTAATCATCAAAAATTGCATTGTTAAAACCTATTATTTTACTTTCTCCTGAACACTCAAATGTCTTTACACAATCTATTGATTCTAAACTATCTAAAAAAGTCTAAATATCAGGATAATAACTAGACTCTCCATATCTTAAATCCATATCACTAATTAATCCAATAAATACACTTAAATTATAATTTATTGATTCATCAAATGGATTTATTAACTATTTATATTTAAAATATTTACATTAATGATTTATCCTAAATAATATTCTTTAAACAAATCATCTATATCATAAGGTCCCCCTGATGACATACTTACATGAAATGTATCATTTTCTGCATAAAGGAACATGCTGTAAGATTATAAATCTTCCTTAAAACAAAAATAGAAAAAAACCCATTTTTTGTTGACTGTTGCTGCATCTACTTTTAGCTCTCTAATTTATAATACTCCTCCATGCTATATTAATAATCGATGATTAAATATCAATTTCTCTCTATCTATTTCAATAAAATATGACAATATAATTCTTTCTGAATATTTTTCTGTTAACACATGCATAGTTGATATTGTTTAACTTAATTATTCAGGACTCCCATATCCTGATTCATATTTTGTCCAAACTCCCCAACCATGACTTTTTGTTCCTAAACTGCTTAAGTCTTATTCAATAATTCTTTATTCTGTATCTGGTTTTGTGATGATATCGAAAACACAATCACTAATTCCTTAATAAAAGCTAACATATTTTCAATATTATACCATGTAGCAAATATGAAAACAATTTTAAAGCACATATTTACTTAAGTGATTTTAATTAATAACTATACTAAAAATTAAAACGTATTGAATAATTAATACTTAGAATAAATCATCATTTTTTTTACAATAAACTGGTTTTATTTTATACTTAATATTGGAATTCTTAATTAAACCTTTGATTTATCATCTAATTATCAAATTAGCATAAGATTATACCATATATACTTTGTTGATGACTATTTACAAAACAGGTGATCTTTTTTTAAATAATTTATTTTTTTTTTTAATGAAATTAAATTTATTCTGTAACGGTTCTCATTTATAAATTTTACTTAAATATCATCATAATAGATAAATTAATTTAAATAATATTTTAATTCTTTTCATTTCAACCATAATGATGTCTAGAACATTTTTATCTGTATTATAATATATTATGAAATGTGATATAATAATAAAAAAATTTTTTTTAAATTTCTTTCATTATTTCCATAAATAAGCTATAATTCTATCTAAAAATTTAGATAAGACTTAAATTTTCTTTTGGATTATGATCAAATTTAAAAAATCATTTCTCGATTCTAAATATCAATTATAAATTAAAAACTTTATAATTTAAAATATTTATTTATTAATGATTATGTTAATCATGTATACAACATCCTTTATAGAGGAATATTAAAACCATGCAGATTAAGATTTAGTAAATAGTATTATAACAAAAAAAAACATTTTGTGCTTAGAATTCTGGATATTCATAACATATTGAATATGAAAAAATAGTAGTAAAAGGATGTAATTTGTTATTAAATTAAGCCACCCTTGTTGATAAAGGAATTAACACAAAAAAATAATAGGTTATATTGCAATTTATATTACAAGCTCTTTAGCATAATAAATCAATAATATTATTTTTATCATTTTATTATATTTTGTAATAATAGAATAAATCAAACTATATAGTCTTCTTTGTTGTATTATTCCATGAAAAAGTCTCTCTAAACAATAATCTAATGATATCCTTTTAGTTTCAACTTTCTTTATAATTTTCATTAGGAGTTTCTGTACTGATTTTTTGGCCAGTCAATCGATAAGTTTTTATTTATAGTGATCGCTTTTTTATATCGGAATCGGTATTATTATATCTTTCATACTACATACATATTTTACTTTTTAGTTTATATCTTATTTAAACATATAGTAAAAAGGTTACATTTCTTAATATTCCTCTAGGTAAAGTTGATATCATTTGATTTTTTAGATTAAAGATATGGTAATTTAATGATTCACTTTTATTTCGATTTAAGGAAGCAACTTCTCTCAATTCTCTCTAAATATTGTAATACTAATTTCTTAAAATTGATATGGAAAATTTTAATTACTAATTTTAAGATATAATAATAATAAGATCTATAATTAAATTAAGTAGTCATTTTTACATATATTTGAATGTGAATAATTTTGTTATTTAAAAAAGTTTAAAAAATGATATATATATATTTGATAAACTTCTTATAATTGATTCATTCAAAAATACAATTAAATTTAATGGATATTGAAGTTTATAATTTTATAAAGACAACAATATTTATTAAATTAAGTATATGTAAATAATATATAATCTTAAAAATCTTACTAATATAGAGAATATGATAAATATTTTAGATTTAAAATGAGTTATAACTTAAATACATTACTTTATATATATTCAATATATTTCAAAATATATTAGATTTTGTTTATTTTTAAATTAATTTAGATAGCATTATCATTGACAATTTATTTACTTCTTTTCGAAGATTAATCTAAATATTAAATAAATTAAATTGCTATCCTTCCTATTAATGAATTTCAAAAACTCTTGTAATAGTAAATAACGTAATTATGACAATAATATTGTTACATGCAATTTAGGTAACTTTTTTTATTTCATCTACGTTATTGTATTAAGATTTGAATAAATTAAGATAAGTTTACATATCTTTGGCCCTAAAGATTCTGACTTTTGAAACTAATATCTCATATATTTATCAGAATTTTGTCTTACTAATTTAAGTCAACCTGTAAAATATTAAAATATTTCAAACCTATTCTTTTTGATTGATTTATTATATTAAATTATTGTTGAAATACCATTTAAAAGGTTCAAATATATTATTATATTAACCATATTCTCATCAAATCAAATCAAAAAAAATGAATAGATAGAAATATAAAGATATTGATAGTCATTCTATAATTGAAGATTTCCATAAACTATTAGTTATTATGTAAAATATATAAAAATCAAATCACAATTAATTTAGAAATGGGAAATAATTAATAAAAGTTAAATCAACCTCTTTATGAATTATAGGATTCATCTTCATTTAAAATGAAATATCCAAGTTACTCCATAGCTATTAACTAAAGTGGCTCTTTAATTTTAACAAATGTATTTTCAACTATATTAATAATTGGTTATAATGGAAAATCTTTTAAAAGCCTTTCCAGCGTTAAGAAACATGAATCTTCTATTAGCGTTCTTAAATTTTTTAATTTGAGAGAATAATTTATTTCAGGCTCTAGTGATTTTTCAATTATTATTTGGCCTACAATTTTAGGAACAACAACAAAATATATATAAAAACTTTAAGGTCATAGAGGAATGATTACATGCCTAACTATTCATCCACTTAATGAAGATTTAATTATTTCTGGAGACTATGAAAGTACAATCAAATTTTGGTCAATATAAAAATCTCTTAATAAGTAGTAATCATCTTTATAATGGATATGTATTCAAGAAATAATAGAGCTTAAAAGTTCAGTTTGTAGTATATCTATAAATGAAATTGGAAATTAAGTTATCTCTTGTGATAGAAATTCACTAATTTTAGTTATTGAAAAAAGTATAAATACAAATAATTGGTTTGTCAAATAAAAAATAGATGTTGAATCACTTGAAGGTGCTGGAGTGAGTTTTTTAAAAGATGATAGATTTATATTTTAATCTTCTAGGGAAAGTACTCTTAACTTATATGTATTACAATAAGAAGGAAAATACAATAAAATTTAATAAGTTCAACTTAAAAAATACAAAGATGACATATAAATTCGTTAAACATTATTATATAAAAATAAATAGAATATATTGACAATCAAAAAAGGTGAGAAACTATTCATCATAAGAATTGAAGATTAAAATAATTCTAATAAAAATAATACAAATAATGATCAATTAATCTTAAAGTATGTATAAAAAATTGATTTTAAGACATGGTTTTTCTATTAAGCATTAAGTGATAATGGTTAATACTTAGTAACTAAGGAAAATGAATCAAAATAAATGAAAATGTGGAATCTCAAAAAAGAATTTGAACTTTGAAATATTCAATATATTATCCATTTTAGAAAATGATTCATATTTATGTATATAATAATAATAAATAAATTTTCATTAATAACCATATAAATAATAAATTTTCATTTAGTACTTCTTGAATGGTGATTCTTAAAACTATCTTATAATTTATGATAATTAAAAAGGATCATATTAATTTTTAATGATAATCTGATATTTGTGACATTAAAAAATATTTTAAGTTTTTATATATATTACCAACATGAATGATTATCGAATGGTCAGCAGTAGAATTCTTAAAATACAAATAATTTTTGAAATGATAAATATATTTAACTTTCATATTTCAATGACTTGTCTAATATATCCATGATGATTTTGATAATAAAACAAACGAATTATTAAGTATTCTTCATTTTTTAATATAGATATTTTTAAAATTAATTAGATTATTAAAATTCTTACAAATACTTATTTATCAAGATAAATTTGACTATAAATATCAATAATAAGATTAAATTTTAATTAAAATAAATCCTGTAACTTAATAATTAATTTTTTTTATATATCTCTCAAATATCAATTACAATAATTATAGTTCAATTAGTTTAAATGATCTTAATCTCAACAAAGTGAAAATCTAGAGCTCTTTTCAAACCATTCTTTTGCTTGCTATGAATCATTATCATCCAAACAAAGTTACAAATTAAGCTTATTCGAAACTTCTTCAAGTGTTTGCAATTTATTTTAATATTCTTTTATATCAACATTTTGATTTTTATTAATCCATTCTAATGTTTCATTAATTAACTATTAATATTTTGATTTCTCAATATCAGATATTTTAAGTCTAAACTTTTCATTATTTATTGTATATCTTAAAAGATATATAATTGACTCCAAATTATTCTTAGTTTCAATCCTATTTTTTATCATTTTATCTTCATCTTCAAATTTTTCTGCTTCCAACAGATGATTTTCAACATAATCTTTTGTTAATCCATCATTTAAATTAGCAATAATTATTTAATTACTATTATTTGATGCTAAATCTTGAGCAGTTATAGTAAGTGTATTATTTGAATCAATTTCAGATATTATCAAAATTTCAGGAAATCCTTTAATAGCTGGTGTAATACCAGTTAAATTAAATTATTATATTAAAATACAATCTTTAGCCAAATATCTATAACCTAAATAGATTTTAATACTAACTTCAGTTTGATAATCATTCATAGTGGTGAAAATTTATGTTTTCTTTGTTGGAATTGTTGAATTTCTTGAAATTAATGTTGTAATTAAACCTCCATAAGTTTCTATTCCTAAATTTAATATAGTAACATCAAATATACAACAAAACTAGATTTGTTATTATATTTATCCATTTAAAATGGCAGCCTAAGTAGCAGTCCCAAGAGCAATAACTTCTTCTGGATTTATTGATTATTGCAATTACTTTCCATTAAAATAATTTTTTAACAATTCTTAAACTTTTGGAATCTTTGAAGATCCTCCAACAAGAATTATTTCATTAATTCTATTCTTTAATTGATTTGAATTCATTAAAATCTTATCTATAGATAGTATACATTATTCAAATAAACTCATACATAACATTTCAAAGTTTGCTCTAGTAATTATACATATAAAATCTTCATTGTTATGAAAATTATCAATCTCCACTGTTGCTTGATGAGTAGATGATAGAATCTTTTTAGCCCTTTCACATTGTATTCGAAGCATATATAATAATTATGAGTTATTTCTTATGTCAATTCCCTCTTTATTTAAGAATTAAATACAACAATAATCTACAAGTTTGTTGTCAAATTCGATACCACCTAATTGATTATTATTAAGGGTTTCTTTCATTTCAATGATACCATCTTCAATAAATAATAAAGTAAGATCAAGTTTCTTGCTCCCTAAATCAAAAACTAGAACTTGTTATTCTTAATGATTATTATTATGTAAATTATAAGCTATAGCAGCAGCAGAGGGTTCATTAATGAGTCTCAAAATATTCAAACCTATTTTGGTTCCTGCTTACTTAATTGTTTATCTTTGTAGATCATTAAAATAAGCTGGTACTGAAATCACAGCAGATGTAATTGGTTTACCTAAATAATCTTAAGCTATTTTCTTTAAATTCTCTAGTATTATCGAACAGATTTCTTCAGGAAAGTATTTCTAAACATTCTCAGGATTTTCTATAACAATTATTGGTTAGTCATTAAATCCAGCTTCTATTTTAAATGGGTAATCTTTTATTAAATTAAAAAAATTCTAGTCAGAATATCTTCTTCCAATTAATTTTTTTATATCAAAAATAGTATGCTAGGGATTTTGATATTTTTAATGTAAAGCTGTTTCACCTATTAGACTTCCTTGATTAGTAAATGCAACACAAGTTGGTGTTTGCCTATTACCTAATTGATTGTAGATAATCTCTGCTTTATCATTCATCCAAACACCAACACATGAATTGGTTGTGCCTAAATCAATACCTATTGAGTAATTTGAAGTCATTAATTAGTATTTATATTATAATTATATAAATTAAAGAGTTGATTTTTAAAATCATTAATATTTTATAATTAGTATATACTAACCAATTTTCATTTTTATTTTATTATTTAGTTATGTTATTAAGTTAATGAAAGTCTTCAATAAGTATAATTTTTTAGTAAATTGAAATAAATTCATATATCAAATGAATATCATTTAAATTGATTAATGCCGTTGTAATGATAATCAACAAAACCATAAATTCTTTTTTATATAATTAATATTTCTAACTTGGTTACATACGAGATCTATCTGAAATATAAAAAATATTATTTTACTTTAATAATATCAAGAATATTTTCTGTATTAATTAAATATTAATTATATATTCAGAATTATCATATTCAAGATTATTTTTAATATTTTGGAAACTAAAAAAAATGGTTTATGATAATAAATTACATTAAAATCATCTAAACAAGTTTGATTTGAATTATATGTCTATAGAGTTCCTCCATTATATCTTGAGTCTTTCATTTACACACTAATCCCTTATAAAATATTAATTGATTTTATTTTAAAAGGAACAAATTTTACAAAAAGAGTCTAATTTCCAGCACATATTCTCCACATATCTCCTAAAAAATTGCACTCACTATAGAAATCAACACAAGGATTTAAAATTTATAATCTTATATCTCTAAATCCCCAAGATTCTACAAGAAAAAGTATTAATTACCTATATCAAATGATTATAAGTTATCATCAAATAGCAACTTAAAACTATTCTATCCAATTGGTGATACAAATTAATATGATTTCTTCTCCATTAAATCTGGATAAAAAGAATTTAAACAAATTTATGATCCTTCAAAAGGAGAATAAGTAATTTTGCCAATAAGTTCATTATCTACATATATAAATACAGATTCCTAATCCCAAGAATCAAATTTAGCAATAGTAAATGACAATATTAGTTTTCTCTCTGGGGGACATGGAAATATTTATGATACCTTTTATCCTCCTGTAAAATCTCCTACATAATATTTTCCTGCGCATTCAACAATACGATTTCCATTAGTCCATCCAATATTAATACAATCAGCTCCAGGGTTTTATACACAACCTTCATATAATAAGAAAGGATGCATAAATAAAATTTTAATAAAGGAAACCCTAACCATTTTTAATAATATAACAATGAAAAATAAATATAATGAATAGAATATATTTTTCTAAATGGAATTTCAATTTAGAAGAAATATTATCCAATTCAAATTGTTTATAAAAAAGGTAATATTTAAATTAAGGATAATAGATTATTATAGAAATACAAAAATTCTGATGAATATATAAGAATTTGCAATTTAGTTAAGATAGTAATTATAAATTATCATAGTATTTAATGGAAGATGAAAAAACTATTTATAAATAATACTATTATAGATCATAATTTGTTTATGAAAGTTCCTTTTTAAACTGAATTTCAAATTCTCTGTTTAATGCAAATAAAACTATCATATAATTAATTACTTACAAAACCTATTAATTTTATACTAATTTGCTTTTTTAAATCATCTATCCACTTATAGAAATATAAATATAAGTAATTTGAAATTCATATATAGGATATTAGTTTAATTTTTTTTTTAGATATTAATTATTCATAAATTTTGATGCAATAACACTTTTTCTCAATTTAAACTTGATCCTATATATTTAAACATTCTTAAATTACTTATAAAAATTTATTATAAATAAAATAACAATAAAAATAAATATGCAATATAAATAATTTATGCAAAATCAATTAAAAAGCTACCTGGTTTTAGTTCGAGAATATAGTGATGTATCAAAATCAATAATAGAAATATCAAAAAAAAATGAAAAAATTGTTAGCTAAATAAGGAATATTATATTTCTAATTTTATTTTATCACCTAATTTATAAATCTTGTCTAATTTTGAAAAAGAAAAGACTACTTTGAAAAATATTACTAAAACAAACTTAATTTATTTTTGCCTTCCTAAAATTAAAATTTTATTATAAATGAGACGTAGAGTTATAAAGATAAATATAAGAATCTTTGAGCCTATTAAAATTTCTATGAAAATAATTGTAATAAATGATATAGAATTATATTTATTTTTATTATAATAATATTTAGTATATACTTTATTATTCATATTATCAAATATTAAATATTGAATGTTATAATTCTAAATAGAAGGAGAATAATTAAAAACTCAAATACTTAAATCTAACACCAGTATAATGTATTTTATTTGATGATTGCAAAATATTAAAACAAATAATAGAAATTTATGACAATATATAGATATGAATTTTGCTTATAATCAGAAAGGAAATTAAAAATCAATGTTATTTAGTTTTCTAAACTAATTCAAACAAAATCTGTTTATATAAATACATCAATAATAAATTCATTGAATATATATATTCTTGAAAATTTGAAGAATTTACTTATAGAGCATTATCTAGTTTATTACAAAATGTATTAAAATGAGTATTGAATAATTAATAAGGAATAAGATACTTATAATATATATTAGATTAATATATATTTTTTTTTTAAGACCTCTTTTCCATGCATCCTTAACTCAAAATTTACTGCCCTTTAAATTTTGACACAAATATACAAATTTGTGTAATTATTATTATTATTCTAAAATAAAATGGTCTGATTATGAGAAATATATATATGTTTTGTGTTTGATAACATATTTTATGTATATAATTTAAAAATCTTTGTTATGATTTCTATTTGATTTAGAAAAACAATTACTTTAAAGAGGAATGAGAATATTTAAATTGTTCATTAATTATTAATATAATGTTGTTCATGAATGTCATTTTGACTATATTAAATTTAGTTCATGGATTTGAAACAATAGAAATGAATCCTGAAAATCAATAACTTAAAAAGACTATAACTATAGTAGATTTGAACGATTCATCTAATTATTGTTTTACTTATGGTTTATGGACAAAATATAATCCTCTTGCAAATATTAAATAAGTAGGATTATATGGATTATTTAATGATTATTGCTTTAATTTACACAATGCTGTAGCAATAGATTCATAAAGTTTAAATTTTATTTATTATGATTGTCTTGATAAACAGCAAAAGTAAATTAAAAAGACAATACAATTTATAAATGATATAGATGAGTAATACAAGTTTGAAATAATAATAAACCCTTTTGAATATGAAAATATATGGTATTTTATGCAAATAATATAATGGCCTGCATTAGAAAGATTTGAATTAATAATTAGTTAATAATAAGCGCTAAAATTGCATAAAATAATTAAAATGAAAAGTCCTTATAGTGACAAAAATTTGATTTTAACATTCGGTAGTAATTTCATTGTAGGTAATTCTAAAATATTGAGTATTTAAAATGGAGATACTTTTACATATTTTCCAGGCTATATTAGATTACAAGATTATATTGAATAAAGTTTATCACCTTAATTTGATTTTATTGGTCATTCATAAACAATATATGAATCATTCAAAACTTGTATTTGTAATTTGAATGAGAACTAGTTAATAAATGATTAGAACTTCTCATATTTGTAATAAAATTAGTATATATCATAAAATTAAAATTGTGATTCTTTCATTTTAATTGGATGGATTAAAATAAGAAAAATAGTAAAAGTTTCAGAAGTATTGAATTATTAATTTATTAAAATAAGTGCAAATTCTGATAATCCAATTATAGAAGATTAAAATTTATCACCTTTTCAATTATTTTATTACATTTCAGAAAAAGGGAATCATATAGAAATAACAACATATAGTTATCAATTTCCAGATGTATCAATTAATTTTTAAGATAATCCTTTTATTATTTAAGATAAATTACCAATCACAAATAATATAACTTTATGGCATTATTTAAAAGTAGAATTAAAATTTAATTAAATTATAATGGATTTAAAATTTTATGAGATACAAAACTCAAATCATTTTATAAGATAATATGATGTAATTTAGTTTAATAATTATTAATTCAAAATAAAATTTGGAAATTGTCTATAATTTTCTTAAAATTATCTAAATATTGATATAAGAAACTTTTAATTTTATAATTGTTAATAATAATTAAATGAATATAATTGTCATTATAGTTGTTTAACATGTGATGGTCCAACTAGTGATGATTGTTTATCTTGTTCTGAATCTAGAATATATTTAAAATAGTTTAAAGTTTGTATATGTCCTTACAATACTATAGATGAAAATAAAAATTGTTAAAATTATCTAGATTCTAATTTATAACTTATTAAAAAAGATAGAATAAATAAACAATGTAAATAAGGTTACTTTTAAATTGATAATGAATGTTAAAAATGGTATTATTTTTATTTATCTTTTAGTCCATCTATTATTAAAGAAAATATGATTACATGTTTTGAATGCTATAATAATCCACTTAATTGGTAATAAGAATTTAATTGTTAAACATCTCTCTATTTATCAACAAAAGGTAGTATAGATAATTCATTGATCCCTGAAGGTTAAGACAAATATTATTTTGATGGTTAATAACTAAATTATTTATATGATTATTATATCTTATAATATGTAAGTAACCCAGAAATAATTGAAAATATTTATCATTAGTATCAGTTAGGTTTTATTTATTTTAAATATTTTTGTCAGTATTAAGATTAATAAATATTTGACTCAGCTATGTGTTATAGATGTATATTTTAAAATTGTATAAGCTGTTAGATAAGTTTAACAGGTTTATTTTGTTAATAATGTCAATCTGGATATATTTTAATTGATGGAGTTTGTAACTCATAAAAATGGATTAGAAATGATCCTATTTGTATACCTCCTGATTATATATCATATTCAAGATAATGTAAGAAATGTCTTATTAAAAACTGCATTTATTGTTTTGAATATTTAAGTTATAATTAAAATATTTGTTCTTTGTGGCCTTAATATATAATTAGTGAGCATGATTTTAATTATGTTAGAATTGGTTGTGCACTTTGTGAAGATAATTATATATTTGATTTTACAATTAATTTATGCATATATTAGAAACCTTAATTACAAAATTGTTAACGTTCTTTTATAGATAAAAATAGTAAAGAAAAATGTACATTATCAATAAAAGATGATTTTTCTATTGCTCCTGAAATAATTAATTGTGAAAATCATATTCAAAATTGTTTATAATGTACATTAAATATTTCAAGTGTAATTAAATGTGTAATTTGTATAAATGGATTTATTGTTGAAAATAATTAATGTGTTCCTAATGAAGAATATTAAGTTCCAGATTATCATATAACTATTTGGACTAATAAAATCCAAAGTTTTATACTCTAATTTATTCCTATATTAAATAGTTATTAATATTAGCAATATCTATAATAAAATTAAAATTAATTTGAATATTGTGGTCCAGATTGTTTAATTTGTGAATATAATACTTGTTAGTAATGTCCCTTAAATTATTTTAAAAAATAAATAAAAGCTGAATAAGGTAAATATTGTTCAGATTGTCCTCAATTATGTTAAGCATGTATGTCTCGTTCAGATATTGAAATTAAAGTATTAATATATATATAAATGCTATTAGACTTATTAATCACATTTTAGAGTCACTTAAGAGAATGTAATTTTTACTAAAAAATGTATTAAGCCATATCTAGATCCTGCAATTTAATATGATCCTTATAATTAGATTTCTCGGTATTGCTTTGAAAATGACTGTTAAAATTCTTTTGTATTTAGATTTTCATATTATTCATGTGATTTTTCAAGATTTAATAGGTTATATGAAACAAAAATCAATAAAAAATATTTAAATTAAATTGGAATTGATACTCTAGATTTTGAATTTTAATTAGAAACTTATGAATAAATATGTTATCTATTTTTCCCAATGAGATTTTCAACTTAGCTTAAGGAAAATGTTTTCACTTTAAAATATACTAATTTTAAAATACACTCATTAACAAAATTATTCATTTATCCAATATATTCTGCTGAATTTATTAATTTTGATGAAGTTGTATTAAGTAATTTAGACTTTATAATTTATTCTAATTATCAATTTATATTTGAAAATGAGTCAAAAAAAGTAAAATTATCTTTACTAAATATTACAATTGATTCAAGCTCATTTAATAATGTAAATTCTTTATTCGAAACATAAATTTTTGATAGTATTAATATAAATAATCTTACAATATCTAATTCCATTTTTAATAGATCAACCTTATTTAAATTAAATAAATAAGACTTTTATGGAAGTATAATAATTATAGGATTATTTTTATATAATTGTACATTTATTGATTCATAGTTATTTTATATTTCTAATTTATAGAGTAACATATCTATTTAAAATTTTAATATGGAAAATAGTAATGCTGAAAATTCATAGATTTTTAATTTTGAATCTCAGGTTGTCAGATATATCCTATTTAGTATGAATTAAATGTAAGTAAATAATAATCAATTTATGAACTCTATTATTATCAATATTACTAATCTTATTGAATTAAAAATAATCGATTTATAGTTTACATAAAATATCTTATTTAATTCAACTATCTTATCTCTTAATTTTAGATTAAAATTAAACTAAATTTATATTGAATAAAATATATTTAAATCTTCATAATCTATAATTATAGTTTAGAAACTATTTTAGTAAACAATTCCATGTTTGATAGAAAAACTTCAAATAATTAAAAATTAATTTGAAAAATCAAGTTTATTACTAATTTTTTCAACTTATTCAACTAATAATCTTGCTCTCATTATTCAAAATACTTAAATCTAATAAAATTATAAATCTACTACAAATGATATTGATCGTCTTTTTGATATAAACTGTTATTCAATTCTATTGAATACAATATTAATAACTCAAAATAAAAATCTATTGATTTTATTTTTATCAGACATTTAATAATTATAAATTGATGATATAATTTATTCTGGTTAATTAGATTAATTTAAAATACCATTAGTAATTAATGATTTAAGTTTCATATAACAGAATAAATTAATTATAATTCAAGGTATAAGTTCTATTTAAATTAATAATTTAATAATAAAAAATCAGATAAGTATTGATGAATCTTTATTTGAAATAATATAAAGCTCAAAGGATAAAAATAATTAAATATGTTAAATTAGTCTTAATAATATATTGTTTTAATAAAATATATTATTACAATTAAATAAAATTAATAGGTTATCTCTATTTAGATTAGAATCAGATTTAACTTTAAATAATATTACTTTACAAAATATTACTTATAGATTTAATATGTTTCATTCTTATATCAATTATGTAATAAGAACTTAAGCAAGCTTATTATATATATAATCCTCTTTAAGTTCTATATATATTCAATAGTTTTTAGGCGATTAAAACACCTTAACTAATTCTTCAAATACCTTTGTTGTTATATCATCTGAAACCTTAAAATTGTTAAATTACACAATTAAGTATTAAAATTGGTTAAACAAGGATTTGTGGATCAAATATTATGATCTAAAATTGGATGATAATAATAATCAAGAAGATTTTAATAAAATTATTTTTTCTACATTAAAACTAAACAATTAAGGTGGAGCAGGAAAATTACATACTTCAATATTTTTCTGTATTGATTGTTTTTTTGATCACATACTAGCTCAGGAAGGGTTTTTATTTGATATCACAACATCTGGTTAAGGTGTAATTAATTTAGTAAATTTAACAGTTAATTATGCAGAAAATAATCTGGAATCAACAGAAAAATATTATGGATGTTTAAAAATCGATTCATCTAATGGTTAATTAAATTTGAATCTAAAAAATGCAATATTTTAATATGTTTAAAATAGGATGGCAACTTCAATATTAACTGTTTTTCCTTCAAAAATTCAAAATTTAATAACTATAGAAAATGTAAAAATTATAGATTGTTTATCTTTGTTTAATTAAATTATGAATATTCAATTTTCTTAATTAATAACTAATAAAAATTTAGTATTCATAAAAAATTTAACTATTATTTAAAATTTATAAATTTGGAATACATATTTTACTTAGATTAAAATTTTATCAAATGAAGAATTAAATGAAATTGTATAAAATAACAATGCATTAATATTTATGGAGAATTGCAATATACAATTAAAAGGGTTAATCATAGAAGGTGTATTTATTTCACCTATAATGAAATTTATTAATATTCCTAGACTCTAAATAGAATTATTGAGAATTTAAAATATTATAATATTTTATTAATTTACATTAATACATGTAATGTAAATAGCAAATATAAAATCAATAATAAAGTTTCAAGAAATTGATATTTAGAATGTTTCAATATATGAAGTTTTAGAAGAATCTAATATTCATACTAATAATGATAAAAATAATACAATTTTAATTCATCCATTAAGAAAGCCATCTTTATAAAACTTTTTAAATGAGAATGCCAAATTATTTCAATTGAATAGTTTATAATTTGGTTCTATATTCAATTTTAAAAGTTTATCAACTTAAAGTTTCTTTTACTTTGATAGAATTAAATTAATGAAAAATAATTGCTAACATTGTGAAAAAGGATTAATGTATTTTGAATTAGAAGAGTTTTAAGAGATTAGAATTTCAAGTTTAAATTGTATACAAAATCAAATAAAATAATTTGGTTGTTTGTATTTTACCAAAAATAAATATGATTAAACTAAAATTATTGTTAAAAATTCAAATTTTTTATTTAATTAAGGAACTTAAGGTGTGGCTATAACTAACATAAACATTTATTTTAAGTTAATTTCCAGTAAAATAATTTAAAATACTGCAAGTGAATTAGGAGGTGGTATTTATTTTGAAATTGATTCAAATACTTTTATTGTGAATTAATCAATAATTATTTCTAATATTGCTAAAATTGGAGGAGGTATTTATCTTAAAGGATTGAGCAATTTAAATAAGAATAATTTTATCAATTCTATATTATTGTTTAATTAAGCTTTGGAACAAGGGAATAATGTTATAGAAATACCATCTCATTTAGCTCTGTTTATCAATTCTAAAGAGATTCCTTCAACATCTAAAATAATAAATGATATTTAAACAAATTAAATGAAGTTGAATACTTATTAAATACTTGAATAAGATTAGATTCGTTAATATGAAGAGTTAATAATACCAAGTAATTAAATAATAAAGGATTTTTAAATATTTGATATAAGATAATCTAAGTATAAATTATTTATAGAAAATATGGAATTGTATTACAAAAATAGTAGAAATGAATTGTTAAAAACTTTTTTTAACTTAACCTGTTTAATTAATTAATCAATTATTATTAAAAGTGATTCTTATATTGAAAATTAAAAAAAAAACAAAATTGTTAAGTTTAATAATGAAAAATAACATTTTGATTTATCATCATTATAATTTACATTAGATCCATATTAAAATTATGAACATTTATTAATATCAATATATTGCAAATTTCATGATAAAGAAAAAGGTTTAATGTATCAAATAAAGGCAAAAAGTTTAAAATGTCAACTTGGTGAATTTTATGTAAATGAAGGATGTTAAATTTGTTAATCTAATTAAGGTTTTTATTCTGTTACTTATAATACTACTAAATGTTCTATTTTTGATAAGACTAAGTTTTCAAATATTACATCAAATATGATAGATTTATTACCTGGATATTGGAGGCCTCATAATTTATCTGATTTTACAGAAGAATGTTTTAAGAATTAAGCATATTGTTAAGGAGGATGGTTAGTTGGATATAATCTTTGTATTCCTGGACATATTGGTGCATTATGTGAAGAATGTGATATATATGATATTAGAGGATTTGGTAATTTTTATAAAAATTAATGGAATTAATAATGTTAAATATGTTAAGATAAATGGGATGGTATCATCTCTCTTATACTTATACTTATTTGGTAATTAAATAATCTAATTTTAGGACATTTTTATCTATTATATTATCTTTGAGAAGTATCAATAGATCAAATAAATTATTTACTTAACTTAAATTAATTAGAAGATATCACAAAATCTTATTTAAATTAAATTAAGGTAAAGTAATATAAAATATTCTAGATCATGAAAGTATTCTTATAAAATTGATGATAAATTATTTATGGACTTTTTAAGTAATATTTACATTTAATATCAAATTTTCTCTATCATTTTATTTTGTTGAATAAATTAGTAATAGTTCCTATTCTATTGCTAGTAATTAAGATTGTCATTTATCTAAAATAAGTACAAATCCCTTAATTTATATAAAACTTTTAATGATGATAACATTTATTATTTCATAATTTAATATTATATTTTTGGCATCATTTTGCTACTTTAAAAAAATGAAACATAAATATGATCTCAGTATACTCACAAATACTCTACTTTATTTGTATATTGTAAATTATGCAGGGTTGATGAAAATGTAAAATTATAATAATATTTATAGGTTATCTTCAGTTCTTTCAATTCGAGTTATATCAAATATTAATTATATTTAAGGTGATGTGACATTGTAGTTTGGAGATCAAAATCATAAATATTGGATTTTTTATTGTGTTTTACCAGGATTAATATTTTTTGGGTTTCTTATTCCTGTTTTCATTCTAGTATTTTTGTTAATAAATAGAAATAACCTAGATAAGATTAAACTAAGAAAGCATATTTGTTATTTACTAAATGAATACGAAAGTTAAAGTTACTTTTGGGAATAAATCAAATAATTAAAAAAAACTATTATTATTTTTATTTTGACTCATTTTGAAACTTAAATTTTATTTAAAGCTCTTTTATTAGGATTATGCTTATTAATTTATTAAATTTTAGCAATTAATTAAAAACCCTTTGTTATAAAAACATTTAATTCTCTTGATTTAGAAGCAGCATAAATTTGTTCGATTTCAATTTACTTAACTGCAATTAAATATATTTGTGAACAATAAAATATCCATTATGCCACAATTATTCTTGAAATATCAATAATTGGATTGTTTATTCGACTCTTTTACTTATTTATGTAAAATATATTTAGAATTTACTATAAAAAATATAAAATCCCCATTTTAGCTAATCTATGTGAAATATTTAAATTAATTGGGAAAAATTTTATTTTAACAATATATTTAAATAAAATTTTAAGTTTTCATAAAGAGAAAGAATAAAGATTATAAAATAATTACTTAAAATTAAGAAATTATTTATTGTATTTTACAAAAATTTAATTAAGAAATTCAAAGTATTGATTTCATTAAATCTTCATTAGGTTATTAACTTATTAGAACATATCAGAAAGAATTTAAACAGTCAAATCTAGTAGATCTGATTTTGAAAAAATTAACTTTTTAGGAATAGGGGAACTAAATGATCATATTATTTGAATTATCAAAATAAAAAAAAATTTAAAGAATTATAATATTTATAATAAATCTTAAAGGTATTAATGCATCGAAATATTTAATCAAAATTCAAACAATGCTTTTAATCCATAATTATAATCAAGATTATGGGAGAATATTATATAAAAAATTAATTATATATGGAGATAAAATTTATCTTATTATGATTTCAATTGTGCTTACATATGAGTAATAAGCGTAAATTCTAAGTAAATTTTAATTATGCCACATTTTTTAATTGGTATTCATATATTATATCTTTTAAATCTAAAGGTGTTTTTTCTTAATCCCTTATGAGTTATTTTATTGATATATCAAGAATAGCAGATTAAATTTAAGTTGGAATATATTATTGATTAAACAAAAGGAGAATTATTTATTTTTTTCTACTTAGCATAATTTTGCTAAATATCATTATTCAGCTATAAAGTATATTTAAATTTATTTAACAATCTGATTGGGTTATTCTAATGATAATGCATAGTTTAAATAAGATTTTTAAGTTAACCTTGATCATTATTTACAATTCTAAAATATAAAATTGTCTGATGTTTAATTTAATAAATATTGTATTGGACTAGCTCATAATAAATATGGAATTATTTTAAAGAATAGTAAATGGTTAATTATTAGGTTTGATTAAGATTATTTACCAGAAAATATCTGGATGTTTCAAAGTGATTAACACTCTAAATTCAATTATTTACTTTGTTACAAACCAGATTCATGAGTCTATCTCACCTTTAATTAAACTGGATATTAGGTGTTCCTAATATTTTAAATGATAATGAAATATTGATTTCTTTTATCTTTTTTGATAGTATCTTCAGGCTGTTTGTTTAAGAGATCCAAAACATCACCTTAGACATGTACAAAATCAATAGAGGGATTAAATTAAACTAGAAAATTGAAAAGTAAAATCTATAACTAAAAAACAGCAATTTGAAGAAAAATTAATTTAGGAGAATGAAGTTATAAGTAGTTTAACATAAAAAAATAGGTTAAATAGTATTAAAATAATATTTTTTAAGAATGGGAGGGCTATTTCAAAATATTCTTGATAAATTCTGATACTTTATTCTAAATTATTATCATAGTAAAAATTTTTAATTTAAATTGATTTTTATATTATTAATTTACTAATCATGGATGAATAAATGATTGATAATTTTGGATTCACAAGATTCAAAATTATAAATATAAGATAAAGCTTGCCATGAATCAGAGAAAATGATGAAACAGTTCTGTTGCTTTGTTTAGGTCAGGAATTAATGAGGATAACAATAAATTAAATAGCAAAGAAAATCAAATCTTATTAAAAAATAAAAAATAATTATTACACCTAATTAAGTTTGACAAGTATTTTTTTTGGAATTATAATCAGACTTATGAGATTCAGTTATTATATAATATATTTGATATCACTTTAAATTTAATGGAGAAGCACAATGCTAAGATTTTATTGTTCATAAGATGGTTTAAACAAAAAAAAATAATATTGTAATATTTAATGAGTTTGAACTTCATTGTATACATAAAAACCGAGTGTGAAATTCTCATAGCCTTTCAAGGTTTTCTTACATAAATTAAAATATAAAGGTCAAAGATTTAATAGTAAATCTGTTTCTGTTGCTTATCTCTTTCATCATCTACCCTACTAGACTTTCTATTCAACATATATTTCTTGAAGCATTATAATCTCCAAAAATATTCTACACATAATCAATTATGTAAGTATTCTTTATTGCTTCATTTCTTCTACAATTTCATTTGTTGAAATTATTTTTGTTAATATTAAATTTTTGTATTCATACTAGAGCCAAAAATATTAATCTCATGTATATATTTATAAATATTTTATATAGTAATTCTCTCACTGTTCTATGTATCTCCTAATTTATATCTCATTTGATGAATTATCCCAAGTAATCAAATATTCTCCATCATCACTCATTTATCCATATATATAATATGTATTAAATTCAATATACTACTCTACTTTAAATTCACCATTTTATGCATTTCTTATTAAATTTATATATTTATCATGTTTACACACTATTAATTATTTTTATTTAATAAATTATTATGGAAATAATCCATAACCATCATCACCTTAAGTTAGAATAATATCTTTGTTTCTAGTAAATTCTTTACTTACACTATTTTTTTCATAGACATGCATGAAATTACCATCAATAGGTTTAAATGTGAATAGATTATCGTTGATAAAGCCTATTCTAAATCCACGACAATTTTCAACTATTTTTTGGATTACAACCCAGATCTTATTAGATTCTGAGTATTCAATTACTAATATTAATCCATCCTTTCCAGAAGATATAACTTGATTTTCTTATTCATTTAAAATAATTTGATAAACCCACCTAATATGATCTGAAATAATTTATTAACAGATCCATTCATTATTTTATTCATTTTTCTTAGCCCAAAATCTAATAGTCTTATCATCACTACATGATATAAATAGATCTTCATTATTATTCAAAATTAAACAATTAATCGGATTACTATGTCTTTAAATAACTTATGAGCGAATCCATACATTATCAATAAATGACCAAATAAAAATAAATCCACCCCAATCTCCAGAAATAAACTATTTAGATTATTTCATGAAGTTTAAAATACTTACATAACTTTTATGTTCATTTATGATTTGATTTAATTTTCAACATTCCTTATTTGAATTCAAATATTTTAATCTATTTATCAGATCCAGCTGCTACAAATGAACAATCTTTATTAATAGAAATTGCATAACAATATTCAAATTATTGAAAAGAATTATCTTAAATTAACTAATAAGAAAATTAAGATGAAGATTTGATTTCTTTTTCTTGTAATTCTTATAATTATAATGATTTTATTAATGATTATTAATTTTATTCTGATTGAATTTGAGCTTGATCTTTATCTTAGATTCTTTATTTCATTAATGGTTTAATTTCTTAGACAAAATTAGATACAAACTCAGAATAACCAATTATATGGAATTCATCAATTTTTGGGAAAAATATTTCTTATTTTTGGGTTTTCAACTAAGATATTGGAGAATCCATAATAAGTATTTAATCGATGTAATTACAGACTTTCTCAAAAGATGACTATATTAATTACAATTAATACATCCAAATGCTTCTCTATTTATATTATATGTTATTCTAACTTTCCTTTTACTATTTATTATGTTGACATTCTTTCTATTTCTATTAGTTTTATACAATTAATTAATAATCATTTTCTAATAAACAAAATAATTTATGCTGATTAATATGCCTTTATTAAATATTTATGAATAGAAATGTGAAAGTTAAATGAATTTTAAGTTATATTATTTTTTATTTAATATAAGATTATCTATCATATTGTCATTTTGGATACCAAAAAACAAAAAATAACACTTTCATTTTAATTCTGATGTAATTAATTATTGAATAAATTAGATGAGAAATGGTTCATGTCAATTAGCTTCAAAAGTTTAAGTTTTTTTAAATATTTAAAGTATTTTTCTAATATTTTCTTTCAATGTTAGTATTTTATTTTTTTGATTAGTTATTATGATTCAAATTATATAATAATACTCTATGCTCTTTTAAAAATATATCATATATTTTTTTTAAATTAGAGAACTAATTTATTTATCTTATTCCCTTAATATTTGAAAAATAATTCAAACCATACTTGGTAAATGGCTTCATAATATTCAGTAGATTTTAATTACCTTTATCCATCAATTAACTTATTGCTAAGTGTAATTTTAAGTGTAAATAAAATCTTATTACTCAACATTATAGAAATCTTAATTAATTTTACTGTTAATTTCTCTTTATTAAATTCTAAATAATACAGTTTAAATTTAATTTAAAAAACTTCCTGCCATCTCAATTGTTAAATAGATTAATTTTTACTTAAAATAAAATATATTATTAGAAAAAGGGAGTGAAGTAATTTATTAAATAAAATCAAACAAGATAATAGAAAAAGCATTCATTAACCTAGGTATATCTTAATGCTATGTTTATATTAACAAAGGTAAATCATTAAAAAAGAATTCTATTCAAAGAACAGGGAGAAAAAGAAAAGCTTCCTAGAATTAAATTTAACTAATCTATTAATAGAGAGTTTATATTAACCTACTATAGGAAGTCTAAATTCAAATATAAACAAAAATCTTTAATTTGAAAATTTATCTTAAGGTTTATAAAATAGAAGACTTATTATTTAAAGGAATAAGCCTAGATACTTAAAAATGAATCAACATATAAAAAATAGACCAATAAATATCGAATTAAATCAAAAATTTTAATAATATAAATTTTAAATTTTATAACAAAAATATCAAAAAAATTTATATGATCTTAAAAATTAAAGAATTAAATTTTGTAATTAAAATTGGAAGATGAAAATATAAGAAAGTTACCTTTGCGAATAAGATAATTTAAAATTTTCTGAATCTCTTTACCAATTAGATAAAAAAGGAAATAAAAACTAATTAATTTATTATACTTCTTCAGTTAGGAGATTTTATAATTATTTTTCAAAAATGTCATAATTTTTCACTAATCTATTTAAAATTAAAAAAAATTTAATAATCGAAAGTAATAATAAACTATAAATTTTTTAATAGCAGCTGGCTATGAAGATGCATTTTTCATTTAAAATTATTTGGAAGCAAATAGAGATAGGATAACAAATGAAATATTAAAAAGAGTAAAGTTAAGGTATATAATTATATAAACAATAAAAAATAATATGATATTCTGTAAATAAATAGAAATATTAGCAAGGGAACCAAAATGAAAATAATGTTAAAGTGATAGGTGAAAGCTCATTATGTATTGATTAATGAATATTATATATGTGCAATAAGGTCAATATTATAAATTAAAATATATAAATTTAAATGAATTTTTTAAATTAACTATTTTAGAATTAAAACTAAGATTCTTTTTTAAAAATGATTCAATATATTAAATTTTATTTTATTTAAATCTAGGATCTATTGCAAGATTATAAGATTACAATTAATAAAAGTTTAGATAGAATTATGGATGAAAAATTCCAATAATAAATTCTAGCTATATACTACAGTAACATCAACTAAATTGGTTGCTTCATTAATATAAAACAATGTATAGAAGATGAATGCAGATTAAAATTATTAAAGAATACAAAATTCCCAGTGAGGCTGAAACAGAAATTGAAATTAGTAATGCTATGGTATTTTTCAAAAAGAAGAATATAAATAAGTCAATAAAAATTTTAAAGGATTTGAAATGCATGTCAATTACTATATATATCTAAGAAAAGTATTATAATTAGGAATAGAAGTATTCCGAAATTTCTATTACATTTTGTTAAAAACAATCTTAAAGCTTTATTAAATAGAATTAATTGTCTTAATGTTAAAAATGAATTCGTATGATCCAAAGAATAATACTTAGTAATAGATATAATGAACCTTAATCATAAAGAATTTTAACTATTAACATAAAGTTTCTCTTAGCTAAAATGTTATAGTTTGTATGAGAAATTTATCCTTTCAATTAATGTCTCTTGAAATATATTGAAAATAAATAGTTATTTAAATTGATGTATTTTTGATAAAAGCTTTGATTTATGAGCTAATTAAATAATTATTAATGTAATAAGTTTAATTAATAAAAAGTTATTTCTTTATCATATTATGCTTATACTAATGTATAAATATTGAATAAAATAGTGAAGAATAAATAATTAATTCCAATATATATATAATTAAGTTTTTTTTTATAAATATTTATATCTTTAACTTATAAATTCATATTTAATTTCTTTGGGGTTAATATCTTTTTTGTTCTGTTTCTCTTAAGTAATTCTCATATCTCCATTTTAATAACCCTTATCTATAGCAATGAATGATAAATGGAGTCCCGAATCCTACTCCACTCAATCCCAATATAGCTGCCCGTTTGGCTACTTACTTAGATATTTTAACTGCTAATATTTAAATCATTTCTTTTGTTGCAGCAGTTCCTATAAAAGCAGTTCCTACAGAAGAGATTACTAAAGCAAAAGCTCCCAACATCAGTGATGTATCTAAAACTAATTCTGCATAACCATTTTCTTTTATAATTTTCATAATTTTTTCTACATTTTTATTGATAATTTATGTATTAACCTTAATTGGGGAGATTTATGTATTTTTAAAACATTTCTCAATTTTTAAACAATCTAGAACATCATTAATTGTACTTTGCAGAAATTAAGAATTAAATTTGAATTATTTATTCAATTGACACCATTTCAAAATATTTTATAGAATTTCCTTCACATTTTCTTAATTAATTTCATCAACCATAAACGATTGCAAATTTTGAAATAGGTTTTTTTTTTCGTCAAATGGATCTTGAACTTTTAAAACATATTAATCTATTTAGGCTATTAATAAAGAAACTATCTGTTCAATTTTAATCTAAAGCTTCTAAAGTACATTTTCATATTAATAAAATATTCTGGACTCAATGGATAATTCAAAATTTAGTTAAAATTATTATTACTATTATTGTTATTTTTTATCATTAATTATCTATAATATTTATCTTTTTAATTCTTGATTTTAAAATAAAATCTATTCAGGTAGCATCTCTTTTTTAGGTTTAGGAAATTCAATACATTAATTATCATTTTCATACATTTCTTAGTAAAATGAGTATTTACCTTCTAATAAACCTTGAAAAATATCATCCCATTAATTAATATGATCTTTTCTTGTATTTTATTCAGGTTTGACTAAAACTAAAGAAGCCCATTTATTGTTTTCTTTTGTTAATTAATTTCTATCTTTCAGCAATAAAAAAAATGGATCTAATGTATCCTTAATAATTTATAAATTGTTTATAGAAGAATCAACTAAAATAAATCCAATGACTATTTTTGTTTTAATTAAATGATTATATAAACTGATCCGATGAGCAATTCGTATTTCTTCTGATATATTATCATCAAAACCAGGACAATCATAAAACCAAATATCATTCATCTATATACCTGATACCTTTTAAGTTTTACTTTTGTATCCATGTCCTATTTCAAATTCTGATTAATATCCTTCTTTAAGACCATAACATAAATTGCTTAGTCTCTCTTCTATTGATAAACATTCAGGATCTTTGATTAAATTTAAGAAAGTACTTTTGCCTACTTTGCTTTTCCCAAAAACAAAAACACCAACTTCTCTCTATTGATTTGGTTCATCTTGAATTTCTTTTATTATTTACAAAAAATTATAAATAATTCTCTCTACTTAAGATTGACAACATGATTTCCAGCATTTAATATTAATGCATAAATTTTTCACTTCATTTATATTTTTTTCTAAATATTCTTCATTTATATATTTCTCAAAAAAGTTGTTAATATATGAAATTTATTATAGGCTTACTAGTTGATATGGTATCTCTATATCTGCTACAGAAATATTTTTTTCTTTTAAGAACTTTTTAAAATTAGAATAGTTCAAAGATTTTATATAATTATTGATGCTCTGAAGATACTTTTAATTGATTTAATCTATTACTCTAAAGAGTTAAGATATGGATTATAATTGTTCATTAGAGTTTTTTTAGATTACATCATCTAGATTATCCAAATATTGAATTAAACTTTTATTCAACTCTTATTCATCTTCAAGACAAGGAATCTATTGCAAACTTAAAAGTAAATCTTAAAATCTTCTTAAAATATTTGTTAAGGAAATAGCGTAATCATCCAAATTTTATTATAAAAATAATGTCATAATTCCATAATTTTATTCCTTTTCAGTATTTGGTTTGTAAAATTTATCTTTTTGAACTATAAGTCTCAAAAACTATTCTTTCAAATAATGACTAATTTGTAAATTCTGTTATGATATATCTTTAGTAAAACAATGTGAAACTTCTTAACAATTGTTATTCTCAAAAATCAAAGAGATCATTTAATCTTTAAAAACAAATTATCCAAAGTTTAATAATCCAAAATCAATAATCGAATTAAGTTTAGTTTAATTATTTTCTCCTTAAAGTTTTTCGAAATTAACAATAACATGAAATTTTTATTCTTTTAGAGTTTCTAAAAAGCTTTTCAGAGTTAATCTTGTAACACATTATTTGCGGCATAATTTTTAATTTTTAATTCCTTCTAAAGAAAATGGTGCATTAATCAGATAATACTAT